GTGTATAGATAATGGATGGATGGATCCTACAGACAGTTTATGGGAGCCTCAGAAAGTGTTTAAATCAGTCTCTTCTTTCACAGCTTTAAAGGTGCAGAGTGTTACACGGAGAAACAGACAGCTTCATTAACAAATGTTACTGCTTCTAATGTGTTTTGGTTTATATTGGGTATAACCACGTTGCAGATTCATTTTTCCTGTGAATGCGAACATTCCCTCCATCAGTCACAGGGTTTGTTTACTCTCAGTGTTGCACAAAAAGGGAATAATCTGAACGTAAACTGAATGAAGGAGAAGCAGGCCAGCTCTTCCTACGTGATGATTTTCATTTGTGTGTTTGTGGCAAACAGCCCGAGTGTAAAGTTCACTCTCGGGATGAGTCACGTTGAACAAGCGTCGAGCTCTTTGTGCCAGGATGTTTACGCCTCTTACCGAGGACACAGACCCCAGTGAGCTTCAGCCCAAAAACACAAAACAAACCCGCCCGAGCTGAACTCAAGTGCAGTTCTCTGCTTGCTGAAGTGTGCTGGAAACCTGAGAAAAATGCTGCAGAGATGAAAAGCTTTGCAATCACATGTGTTTACGTCTCCGTTCTGGTCCTCTCTACATGCCACTTTCTTATTTCCTTCTTTGTCAGTGTTTCCTGACATGCAGCACCTTTGACTTTGAGTGTCTTGGTAGCCAGTATGTGCAGTTTCGCTTTAGTTTTTATTGATTTAGCCTCATTTTGCTTTTAAATGAATGAACAAATAAACCCTGGCAACCATCACAAAACAGAAAAACCCACAAATGATGACAAAGAGACAAAAAAAATAACCACAAAAAGAAGCCAAATGATTAAAGACACGAACAGAAAACATGAAGTTACACAAAATGACTCCTCAGAGAAGAAAAGGAGCGCACAGAGGCACAAAACCCTGAAGCAGTTTGTATAAACATCATAAAGCTGCACTCAGGCTTGTTTTAAGAACGTGTACAGACTGTGTGTAGTTGTGCAGCAAAGACTGTCAGTAAAGCTCTCTGTGTTGATTTAACTGTGTATATTTGATAAGCTACGATAAAAACACACTCTTTGTCCAAGTTACACAAGAATTATCACAAATATTATCAGACACAAGAACCACTCAAAGATCTGTGGCAGACGATAGGTCCAAAATAAATCTTGCCAAAACAACTAACAAGTTCTGCCAAAATCAGAAAACCTGCATGACCTAAAACAAATGTGCATGTTTAAATAAACTTTTTAAAAAAGTCAGATTTTATTTATTAAACCCAAAATCACGTTAAGTCAGATATATTCCCCAAAACAGGATTTTAAAAAAATTAGAAGAAAACACAGCAAGAATTGGCAAAAATGCAAAAGATGTTGTGTTTACAGAGAAGACACAAAGTTTTCAGTGTAAAAGATCAGAGTGTCTGTTAAAAGTGTGAAAATATGAAATATTTGTGTTAAGAAACTAACAGCATATGTCACAGTTTGTGACTTTAAAAATGTTAATTTGAATTTCTGGTATAAATATAAAAACATATGACGTGACTCATGATGGTTTCAGTGTTGTGGACAACTTTCTACCCAGCTGGGAAACTTTTAGTTTAACTTGGCAGGTACACATTGCTTTTGAGTGAGTTACTATAATTTAAGCACTTTTTTTTTGCCCCTTTGAACAGTTTCCATGTACAAAAAGCTACTCTGGATTAAAAAAAAGCATTTCTGTGAGAGTTCAACAGACTGACTTTGACATGCAGTAGCTGATTAATGTAAAAAATAAATTTTATTTTACTGCAAGTAGGTTGAATCTTTTTTTCCTTTTCAAATTCTTAATCAGTCATAGCTCTGGGAAACACACAACACAGGTTTGTATTTGGTACAACTTTTAATTTTAAGACTTTTAATGTCACTTTGAAGTTGAACGTGGTGATTGAGGATTTTTTTTCTCTCACTATTTTCTGACATGTTATAGACCAAATGATGAACTGATTGATTGACAAAATAACAGCCAGATGAATCAATAATGGAAGTAGCTGTCAGGTGCAGTGGTTTCTATATGATCTGTTTGATGTAGGAGAGCAGAGACTTCGTTTGAGTTTTCTTTATTCAAAAAGTAATCAAGCAGTGCAATTACAGTCTGCAGAACAAATTCAAGGTGCAGTATTTATATACAGTCACTCAATAAAAGACAAATGCAAAAAAAAAATACAACGTGAACCTGAGTTGCAGAGTACTGAGGGAGAATATGAAGACTGGAGGCAGCTGAGTGTTACACAAAACTATTCTGAAATTGGCAAATAATAATAATAAAAAAACAAGCATCTTGGCACGAGTAAAAGACCAGTCACTCAACTCATGAAATTCAACAACTACAGCACCCACCACATACATAAAATCTGTAAAACATACATGCACAAATACACAAACATAATTCATGCATGAGTGAAATCCATAAACCGTCCCGTACTGACAGAAACGACTGCACGTGCACATTAATTTCCCGTCCACTACTGCTGTTTTTCGGCGGCGTTATTTCAGTGAGATGAGCCAGGCTTCATGCGGCTGATGGCGGAACTGTTAGCCCCTCCTGCGTAGCTGCAGGACGGTTATAATGAACGGACTGGCAGTGCTTCGGAGTCACACTATGAGAGAGTCCCTGCTCAGTGCAGTGCTCTGTTAGGGAAATACACCGAGAGCCACAAGTTAGAGACGTCACACTCATGCTTTGTTAGTGCAGCCCGGCGAATGAGCTTTATGATGACTCACAGAAATCATGCAGTTGTAGTTAGTTCTTGGATATTTAGTGAGCTGGTAAGCATTTCTAACACTGCGAGGGTTGCAAGCAAAGCCATGGTATACATATGAGTAATTTGCTTTCTTTAAAAGTACATTTATGTAAAAAAAAATAAAAATAAAAATGCTACTGCTACATATGAACTCATGTAAAAACTAATGATTCAGTGTTAAGACCATCAATCTTTTTCGCACAAGAAACAAACACATTATGTTCACAATACTGTAAGACATGTTCAGATATTAAAAGACAAGGCAGAATTTATTTAGTTTGTTTTTTTTCTGTCAACAAATCACATGTAAGAACCAAAACCAGCACTGTGTTAGTCCACTTCCATCCACTGTCTGCTGCTCAGTCCCACTGGATCCTACTGGAGGTAGTCAAACATTAACCTGCAGTAACACGTTTGTCCACTTGGTGGCAGCAGAACAAACTAAACACTGATTTGTTGAACATGCCAACAAAGTTCCATTCAGTTCAGTTTGATTTATATAGCACCTATTATCAATGTAAGTCATCTAAGGGCACCTCATATACAATAATATATTATAGAGAGAAACCCAACACATCCAACTAGTCACTTTAAAGAAGCACTTTGGTGATATTGGGTCGAAAAAAAATTCCCTATTTAACAGGAATAAACCTCCAGTTGAACCAGGTTCAGACACAGCGCCTATCAACCTCCACTGAGCTGCTTTTCAGACCTGAAAAGACTGTATCATTCATTTGGAGTCATGTTTTGGACCACCTGATGAATTCAAGTCAAACAGTCACTCTCTTTTAGCTCTATTTTTGGTCTCCACCAACTCCTGAAGGAAATATCCAATCCTTTCGCTCATAAATGCTAAACTTTTTCAGTATTTTAACACTAAATCTGCCATTTAATGCAAGAAAGCAATGAGCTGAAGGCGAATAAAGGCCTCCAAAGAGCAGATGGGAACTGTGATGGGTACTAATGATTTGTGAGTTTGTAATTATGAGCAACACCTTTCAAATTATGCAGGCATCTTAACTAATGCTCAGGTCACAAATAGAATTTTATTTAATTTTTTCATTTTTGTAAATACATGTATGTAACCAGGACACAGTTTTCTTTTTAAAAAGGGTTTAATCATTTACTAAAACAGCCAGGCACTGTGGTTTTTAGCAAAGGATACTCAAACAGGAGTAATTTGTGCAGTTGTTGGGAACTGTTCAAGGTTGTGGACTGATACACATTTAGTGCTCTACAGATTATTTATCACAGCCGGATTCTGTCTGTGGGACTGAGTCAAAATGAACTAAAGTTTATTAATCTTCTGAATGCCAAAACCTGCCAGCAGGTTTGAAAGGCATTTGAACAATTACCAAAGTTACGCCATTTACAAAAGCAAAAAGCTGTAAAAAGAGAAAGAATGATTGGATTTTCAACTTTCCAACAGTCATTGAACTATTTCATAAAAATAACTGTATTCTACGTGTCTTGTTTAAAAATGTACTAAAAAAAAAAAAAAAAAGATTCTGCAGTAAAAGAGACACAGATATGCCAAACATTTGCATGACAAAACTTCAGGGACTTTCTGGCTCAACTGTGTTCACACAGAGCTCATAGGAGACAAGCATGGAAATAAATAAAATTGCAAATAGTTGACATATCTACAGCGTGTAGAGCCCTGTGTTGCTTTCAAGTTTTGTAACATAAATAGTCCAGGAAATTCAAATTTCATTTTTTTTGTTATGATTTATGGCTTGTTGACTGTCATACTAGACATTACTGAATTCTCTCTGCATGCAGTCATAGTTGTGCTGTTTCCAAAGAGGTGCAGGATTATATTATAGTGAAAAATGATGCCACAGTAAGGAAAAATAGGACAGCAGCAGAAAAACCATCCAGAAACTGCTTGCAGTTCAGAGGGTTACACTCACACAAGATGTGACTCAGTGTGTTTGTTTAATAGTGTTTTAATAGTTCAACTCTACAGAGAACACTTGATACTAGGATCAGTTCTTTGCTGGTTTTGGTGCTTAAATGGTATTTGCTGACAATAAGAAAAACATAGGATGTCGCCACACTTATCCTGTGACTATTTACAGGATTCAGAATCTCCTTTCCTGAGGAGCAGAAGAGGAAGGAAGTCCTTGTTCCTGCTACAAGTAACTCACCAGGTTTCGGCTCCTCTCTCTGTCCTCTCGGCCCCCCTGCAGTGTCTGGGACATCCCCTGGTGGGGCCGGGTGTAAGAGAAGGGTCTCGAGGCTGGTTCTGTGGTCCTGTATCTGTCTGATCGGGGAGGATCTGCTGTGCGGTACCGGTCCGCCGTCAGGTCGTTCCTGCGGTACCGCTCGGCCTCCCGCTCAGAGTACGGAGGCAGAGGGTCCTCCTCTTCTGGACGGTTGCTGGGCGACCGGCTGTAGTAGCTGTCCTTTCCTCTGGAGCTGCCTTTAGAGGGAGTGTCACTGTCCTCGTCCGCCCTCCCAGCGCCCCCCCGGCCCCTCGCCTTGCTCTCCAGCACACTGTTGAGGAAGGCATCGTCGTAGCCTCTGCTCTGGGGCAGTCGAGAAGGCCGATCACTGTCCCAAGTGTCCCTTCTCTTTTGCGGTAACGGCGAGGGGCTTCGGCGACCCCAACGGTCGTCCTCGTCTCTGTAGAAACGCCTGGGGGGGCTGTAATCCCGCTCATAGGGCCGGTCCGGAGGCTCAGCCCGACGACCGCGAGAGCCGTAAGACTGAGCGAATTCCTCCAGCTCGTCCAGGGAGCCGGTTCGCCCTCGTCGGCCCAGCGTCTTTCTCTGCAGGTGCTCTGAGCGAGGGTTCCACCTGCAGCAGGACGGAGCAACACAACTCACACATGTTCATAACAGAGGAAACAAAAATGGTGATTGTTATTGTTGTTATTTGTTTATCTCAAGTCACAGTCATTCTGGAATCATCATTGTTTTTCTGTCTTTTAGCCATCTTTCTAGGGATGCCGCTGCCAGTAATGACCCAAACATCTCCACCAAGATGGATTTCCATGAAATTTTTGTACAAAACTGGATAATGAGTCCTTATCATTTTGATGCTACTTTAAACTTTTCTCTGGTGTCAACCTCAGCACAAAATTTAAATTTCCCTAATGTCTTTTGATTGTCCTGGTTGGTTTCACCTGTGTCCCCTGAGTCACCTGTGTCTTGTCTTCCCATTTAGTTCCTGGTGTCTAAACAGTCTAGTCTTTCTGTTGTCTTGTGCCATTTTGTCCTGTTTGCTGCTGTGATGTTTACCTGCCTGTGTTTTTGGATTAGATTTTTCACTTGTGAAGTTATTTTTACCCTGAATCACCAGCAGCCCTTTGTTTATTCACATCTGGTCATTTTGTCGGTAAGTTTTGTCTTTTGTTCCCACACCTGCCTGTGCCGGTTGTGTGTGCCTGCATTTAGGTCTTTGCCTGACACAGCTGAATGTGTTTGGATTTGGAAAGCTTGTTGTACAAAATTAGCAATATAAAGACGTCACCTTAGGCTCTGAGAAATCAGGGTTGCTGTCATTTAAGCTGTATAAGGAACAAATCTAGAAAACCAGATGAGCACACACTTAAAACACGCAAAGACAGTTGAAGTTTTAATTTGATTTGACACTTTTGTTAAAATGTGCATTCATGTTAGATTTTGAGCCAGATTTTGTTTTTTTTTTTCAGTTACATTTTCATTTTGGTGTTTCCAGTTTTTGTATCCTAGCACTTTTAGGCCACGGTTGTCTCCACCTTTGTGTACAGTTACCATGGTTACAGGTGTTATTCTGGTCTGTGGTGAGGTTATTATAAAAGGATCAGTGTCCATGGTCCTCTGCTCTGCAGTGACACAACAGATAAGACTGTATCCTCAGTAAATCCTGTTATCATTTCCAAACTCAGCCTCTCTCTGACACAGCCGTACAGCTACACTCTCCTCAGTAAACACTTAAATGTCTGGTTTAGATTGAAAATGAAGGAAGAGATTTTCGACATGAAAAACTGGTCACCAATAAGTATTATTCATCATTGTTTCCGTTGATGCATTTACCACTGCCTCCTAACCAGTTGCCCCAACACATCCTACTGTTGTCATGGAGTCTCTTGATATTTAAATGACCACCTGATTGAGGTGAAGCCCTGTGATTGGCTAAAGCCTCCCACCACATGCTAGATGTTTCTAAAGCCTGAAAACAGGACCAGGAGGAGATGGGGAAGTCTCACGTCTTCTCAGACCACTTGAATGACAATAATATAATCAAAAAGTATCTTTTCACAACCCAGTTCTGATTCTAAAAGGCTTTCCCTCCAAACCCTATCGTCTCTATCAAAGAGTAGCTGCCAAAGTACAAATCTGCTCTGCTCCTGCTTTAGAAAGTTTGTCTGCGCTGTTTGCACAGATGTCCTGTTCTTCATTTTGAGTGTATCCTCTCAGAAATACATTCTGGACAGTAGGACTACTTCTGCACTATTACACAGCCTCTGCTCCCAGATTTGTGCTCTACTGCATGGATCTGAACTTCTGCTGGAAGTCAATAACTACTACAGGACTCTCAAACTAGGCTGAAAAGTTTGTTTTTGCCCAGTAATTCCCAAAAATGACTGCCTACTCCAGCCATACACAGAAAAACTGCTAACATCTGCAAAGTAACTGATGCAGCTGTCCACATTACCTGCGGTCTAGCTCGTCATCTGAGAGGTGGCCTCTGTCTCGTCTGGGTCTTCTCGTCTGTGTGGGTGGAGCTGCTCTCAGCAGCGACTGGTCGTCGAGGTCAGCGATGGGCGGCAGCGCCTTCATCTGGACCGCCTGATAGGTGTGTCTGAAATCTGTGTTCCCTCCATCATGAAGAGAGCTCAGCTCTGATAAGCTGCTGGCTGTTGGGACAGACACATCGCTCAAATGACATCTGCTGTTTATAAGTGAAACATCATCTCTTTGGAAATACACATCCCAATTTTTGTGAAACCACACACAGAATAACTGCGATCAAAAAATTGTGACATTTCACAGAAGAGGAGTAGGATGAGGTCTGCTGGAGGTACAATGAGTCACCTAAAACTACTGTCACACCCAATCTAACAAACGTGTCTGGTTTTCAGAGGATTTACGTGCAATTATGAATACCGTAATAACAATAATAATAACAATACTATGAATTGATACTTTTAAGGTTACTACAACTAAAGCTTTTTCTGTGTGGCTGAAGCTTGATGTAACTGTTTCTTTATTACATTCAGCCAAGTATGTACGCCACCCTGCTGCTGTTAATACTCTCTATTCGCTACCCCAACAAAGTCACTTTTTCCTCCTGTGAGTTGAAAAATGAAGCAATGCCGTTGTTGCAAGAAAGTTCATCACCCCTTAAAATTTTGATTATGGTCTGAATAACCCAAATACACAACAATATTTCTTGTACGTTGCATCAGATAAGATTGACATAATGTAGGTGATGTAATACTGCATCGGCTGCGACTTTCAGCTCTATAATCACGCTGTGCAAGAGTTGCAGTTGAGTCATTTCTTGCTGTTGACCTTCTCATTTTGTTTTCAGTCTAAAATGGTAAACCGAATCAAGTTGAGGGCTTCTGATAACATTTCGGCCATAAATGTCATGCTACAAAAATTGTCAAATAAAAGTTTTAAATCCTCATTTTAAAAATGAAAGATGGCATATGTGAATATAAAATATAAATCCTCTAGCTTTGCCTAAACTACTGTTTCATTCAGTATCTTTCATTTATATTTACAGTGCCTACTTACTGCTTTTCAACATTGAATCATGGTCAATTTAATTTGACTTTTTTTGACAAGAGTTTACAAAAAAGTCATATTTTTTCACATTTACTTAGCAGAAATCTGTTTTCACTTTGACATACATTTCTTGTCAAAAAATGACAAATTTAATTGACCCCAATTCAATAGAATTTCACAATAAAATAGTGATGCTATTCATTATTGTACCATACAATTGCAAAAAGGGTTAAAATGTGACATTCTTAAGTAATGCATGTCCTCTGAACACCATTGTCTATATTTCTGACACATTTTTACTCATTTGCATCATGAGTAAGAACCAGTGGGCTTGGGGCTGACAGACACACACATGCTAGGGAGGTCAGAAAGTAGAGACGAATGGCTGAAGACTGTTTCTATGGAATTTGTTGACTATAAACAAATATTCAGCCTTGTACCTCGTCCTTGTTTCTGATGATCTGGCAGACATTAAGCTGTACCTACTGCTGCTACTAAGCCACTACGGCATAAACACTATAATGATGCTCCATGCTAATGAGGTGTCCAATGGGGTTGGGCAGCATGATGATATGTACAGTGAATAAGGTGAGATTATATAAATTTTACTGCATACTATTAGTGTGAAGGTTGTTGCTTCAATATTACATTTTTTGTGTGTGTACTGGGTAGTGGTGAACAATGTGCAGAGAAGGTTTAAGGTCAAATATTTATGCTTTTTTTTTTTGCATAAATAAGATGAAGGACTTTCAGTTTGTAGGATATGCAGTAACAATTTCTCTACTGATTTCCCAGAAAACTTATGAACATGGATGTTAAGAAATGAATGTAAGGATTAGATGGAGACTAGTTAAGTCACACAAACCATGCACATAACAGAGAAACACTAGAACACACACATACACACACGCTGCCACACAGAAACTGTCCTAATCTGTGCAGGCTTACGTTTGAGTGCAGCCATCTTGTGGGATGGAAACTGAGCCAGCTCCTTCTCTATGTAGTACAGAACTTTCATTGAGTCTTGGTCTGGATTGGCTTTGAGTCGATAACCACTGCGCACTGTGGATGTGGACACACACACACACACACCACACACACGACCCCATGCATACGAACAAGGACATAACCATGCAATGACACACATAGATACACTTGAGTGTGTAATGCATAAAAGACAAAAACAAGCAACATGTTAACTGTTGGTTAAATTCACAAACGTGCATGAGGCTGACAGACATTTTCATGTAGTTTTGATGGCAGACAGACTTAAGGATTAGAGATGGAAGATGAAATGAGGGTTAGTAAAGTCAGTGTTTCAGAAAAAGAAAAAGGTGAGTGAAAAGTGTCATGATGAACCTGCAGAGGATCTAGAACTCGCATCGGCTTTACCAGATTTATTTTTACTGTCTTGATTAAGTCTTACCACTCTAATAGTGTTGCTTTCAGCTGAAGTATGGAGTTGGCTACTTGTATCGGTACGCGTCCTTGTTACTTTTAATTCAGCAGCAAAATTGCTCCATTTTAAACGAGATTTCTTTGTTTTCTTTCCAAACCTGGCTGTTTTTGTCAAATAGCCCCTTCCGAGGTGCAAATCTGCTCTGCTCCTGCTCGAAACTGTTTGTCTGCACTCACATATACTGTGGTCCTGTGTTTCAGAGACAAAGTCTGTGCACTCAGGCCAGGTCTGCATTCTCACTAAATGTTTTTGCACTCAGATCTGAACTTACACACTCCCAAGTAAAAGATCACTGACTTAAATACATTAACTGTAACGGAAGTCTTTGTCATGGGTGACTGCTGCTTGCAAAATTCTCACAATGTTCTCGGTCACACAAACATCCAGACACACCTGGAAAAAACAACCGAACAACTGCTCAATTTGCAACTTGGATTTGAACAGTAACATTTCCATGGATTTCTGGGTGTGTCGACATGGAACTGGCTATAGTCAAGTCGTGAATTGGGTCACTACAATATGTAGTTAATACTGAAAAAATGGGCACTATGAATACAAACGCTGATATATGCACTCACTCTGAAAGTAGTATGTATTATAGTGAGCACTGAAGCAAGGAGAGAGTTTCAATTCCATTGGTCAGAGCTGGTATTCTATAGGTTAGGCTATTTCGACAGGATTGTTTCATACAGATTTGAGTGTGAGGGCACGAATCTGAGAGTAGAAGTTTTACTGGTGCACAGAAGCAGTCTGAGTGCATAGACTTTATTTCTAAGTGCAAGGAGATGCACTTAAATTGAAGCACAGGACAGTACGCCTGAGTGCAGACAAACAGCTTTAAGCAGGTTTGTACCTGACCTGGGGCAATTTAAGAGAGAGGACAGAGTTTTAAGGGAAAGCATTTCAACATCTGAATGTACAGTGCTCTTCAGTAGTGTTTTCGCTTCCCCCAAGTGATCAGTTATTAAAGGTTGAAAAACTATAAAGTTGCCACACACCTCCAACCAGGTTATTCTCCACTGAGGGGAGTGAGGAGATCTTTGGGTCCATGTGAGATGAAGGAGCAAGAGGAACCACAGTAGGTACACCAGGAATGTAGTAGGGATACACTGGAACCTGCTGAGGAGGCTGTGGACTCTTGGCCATCTTCCCCGCCTCATACACTGCACAAGTTCACAACAAAACAATACAGTGATTGCTCAGATTTAGAAAACGCATGCAATAAAGGAAGGAGGTTCTTGTTTTGCGGTACTCACGGTGTCGTGGACAGCAGCAGGTGTCGGGACAGCAGCAGCAGCGAACGTAGCAGCAGCAGGAGTGAGGACAGCACTGGCACCAGCAGATCCCCAACAACAACAGGAACAAGATGCTGCCCAGGACTACTGATCCCACAAACGCCCATTCTGGTACACAAAGACATGTAGCAAAAGATAAATGCTCTGTTTAAAGGCATGCAGATGCTTGACACTTGTATTTAAAAGAGAAGTTAAACCACTAGAGGTCAGAAAAAGCAAGATTTTCACGCAATGTTCATTTTAAAGCATTTTTACAACTAGGATTTTATTTTTATGGTTGTGATCAATATTCCTATTGATGATAACATCCAAGCAAAAACTTGTACCACATGAAAATCTTGCTTTCTCTACTGGTTTTTGTAACTTCTTCGTGTGTTTCCACATCTCAGCCTTTGCTTTGCCGAGTCCAGTGTTTTCATAGCTGATAGAAATATTGGCCAAAACTGCACCCAGGTTGTAATAAACTGCAAATTTCCTTCAAAACCCATGCAGATAATCCTGAATCCCCTCCAGTGATTGAATCCACAGACAACAGAGCTCTGAAACAGGAAACTTCAAGGGATCACATGGGAGCTATAAGCAACTCTTATCCACCGTCGCATCCAGACACTAACAACACACTTCCTCCGGGTGCGCCAAAAAGCAAAATCCTTCTCAAAATCCCTCGCAAAGTCAACACATATCCCCTGTGGAATTTAAATCATGACCAGAGGTGCAGGATAAGAACTGCGAGTGAGTAAATTCTGCTTTATGTCCTTTCAGACTGTGTTCATATTCAAGCTGGGTTAGAGTCTCTTGCTACAAGTCAGTTTTAATGATTTTGAAGGCAACAAACATCAGATGAAAGTTCAGTGTCGACATGCATTCATTAAAGTAGAAGACAGTTTTGATTGGTCAGTGAGAGTTAAACATTAGGAGGCATTAGGGCAGCTGGAAAATGCAGGGCAGTAAGACAGAAGTGCAGCAAAGGAGCCGTACCTGGCATAATCTCCACATCAAACTCAGGTAGTAGATCATCCCGCTCACCTGTCCTGCCTGCAGAGAGAGGGAGAGCACAGGTGAAGGCCGGCAGAGGAAGCAGGAAGCAGCAGTCCAAAGGTCAGGCAAATTAGCAAATTTGGTAGCAGAGTGGGCGATTAAGAGACATGCACGGAATATTTTACACAATCAGTCTTAGCAAACGTGGTAAATTCGTCATAACTGAGGACATATTTGCCACACTGACCTTGCAATATCCCAACAGCTATTCAATCGATTGCCATGAAACTTAGTGCATGCGTTCACGGTCCCCAGAGGATGAAGCTGACAAAATTTCCACTTAATTTTCATCTCGTGCCACCATGTATTCAAAGTTTTTACTTATTCAGTCAAGTATTCTTACTTGTATCTGATGGATTGGCAGAAACTAGGGCCCAGACATTCATGGTTCCCTGAAGATGCATCCTAAAGAATTTTCATCTGGCACCACCGTGAGATGGATATCTTTAGTTTTTAGTTAAATGTCTTGACAAATATTAGATTGATTGTCAAGAAGTTTTTGTCAAGTCGCTATGCAAGTAATGCAACATTTAAATTCATTAACATAGCTAATAGCTAATTTGTCAACAGGCTAAGATAAGATTAAAAACATAGTTGCTAACTGCCACCTATCTAGTATTTAGCGCAAAGTACAGCTGTGGACTGTTTTGAAGTTCATGCTGCAAAACAGTATGCTATGGAGTGAGCTACAGAGCTATAAATGTGAACATAAATATCAGAAAATGATAGTTCAAGATGTGGGGCACACCCAGCGTAACAATAAAGCTGCACACAAGTGAATGAATGCACATGCTGTTATCCGTTTTACATACATACAGACACACAAACACAACAATGGAAATGTGCCAAGAGAATTTGGGTGAGAAGCCAAACAGGGCAAACTTTGGAAACTGGGTCATAACATAACAATTCCAGGACACCAATTTACCCCGGGAGCTCATCATAAAAAGAGCACACAAGTTGTGCTGTTGTGAAACAATGCGTCTTTATGCAATATAAAGAGGGGAAAATGAGGCAGTTAGAAAACTGTGACATTCAGTAAAGAAAAGGGACTGTCTGCAACAGGTGTGCTGAGACTGAGACACGACCGCAGGTGTTCATGCTTTTTAGTGTGTGCTTATTATGAGTCCTGAAAGGCTGTGATTACAGTAAAGAGCCGTCACGCCTGATCTGTCTGACTACATGCAAAGACTGAACACCCACAATCAGGCTGCTGAGTAAGCTGTTACTTTGGAGGGAGAAAAAAAGTAATCTTGCTACCTCGGCCTGGCACACTCATCTACATACCATCTGTAACACACAGTAACCTGAGAGGGAGCGGAGCAGGAAGGTCAAGGAGTGAGTAATGGAGCAGTACATGAGAAGATTTTGCAAGACAAAAGGGAGAGAAAAGGGCATTAGTGTGAAAGAGAAATTAATCAAAACACAAAGAATTAACCAGATTAAGGAGTTAGTGAGTGAAAGAACTGTACAAGTTTTGTTGCTTGAAGCAATAGTTTGATTTTTTGTTTTTTGTTTTTTACTCTCCAGCTGAGGGTCAGATGAAAAGATCAATGCCACTCTCATGTTTCTACAGTAAATAGAAAGCTACAGCCGGCGTTTCCTAACTCTCAGCAAACTTCAAAATGGAAATTTGTTCAGCTGAAATTTTTTGAAAACATTACTTTCCAAGAGTATGATGAAAAGACTGATGCCACTGTCATGTCTGTATGATAAATATAAAGCTAAAACCAGCAACTGGTTAGCCTACCGTAGCATAAAGGCTACATAGGATACAGTGAAACAAACCTACATACCTAGCTGCATACATACAGCACCTCTAAATCTTACTAATTAGCATGTTTTATATTGTTTGTTTAATCGACAAGTCTGGCACATAAGCTCTTGTAAAAGTACAAGCTGTCAAATTTTAAATTAGTCTTTGGTACGGATAGAAAGCCAACGTGTTTCCTGCTTCAAATGTTTAGGCTAACTTAGGCTAACCGCTGACTTTTTCTGCTTGTGTTTTCTTATATTTTCAACATATTTGTTCTTAAATTTATAAACAGTTTGTGGTCTACTTTCACAGGTTAAACAAACAAGCCTAAAAGCAAGATGTAAGGTGTTTGAGGTGCTGGTATGCAGGATTGGTATCCGGTAATGGAGTCATGCTAGATGTTCCCCATATATCCAGTCCTTATGCTAAGCTGCCTGCTGCCTTTGGCTTCGTACTTACATCAAAGACACAAGAGTGGTATGAACTCTCTTATCATACTCTTTGCAAATAAGCATAAGCATCCAAAATTAACAACTAACTTTGAAGTTTGCTACCGGAAACTTTAGGAAGCCAATCTGACCCAGAAGTAGCTTTACAAACTTTCAAATTCCAATTTCTTAGTTGCAATGTAGAAAAGCTACATGTTCTACAACCTAAAATCCAACCAGCCTTGTTATTATCACAAGTCTAAGCCCCCCTCTTCTCTCCTGTGAGCTGATTATAATCAGATTAGCGCTCAGGGAAGGAGGGCTGTATTAATGAGCAGACCGTACAAGCAGTCTAACTTAAAGGAAGAAAGACATCTTGAGTAACTATCAGATTACACTGATGCACAAGTTTAACCTGGTCCTCCTCCTTTCCTGCGTCTCTCTCTCGTCACGTCTACACCAGTGACCCTTAACAAGCTCCTGTCTCGTCTGAAAAGGCATGTTGCCATGGTAACAGCTTGAATTCACTGGTTGGACTGCAACTGTCCACAATTTCTCTCCCTGAGTGGACACAGCAGGATACGTCAAGGTTACAGTAGAAGGATGACTCTCTGACCTTTAGCACTGAAATATTAGCTGCTCGGTGCAGGTTTGGAAGCTCCGTATAATCATTAATCTGCAACACACACTAACCAATGAACAAACAACACACAGACATTGTACACTGTTGTGTAGCTGAAGATATCATCCAGTGCAGTCTTTCAGGCCACTGGCACAGTGTCTGACTGACTTAAGATGTTCCAGTGCAGCCAAGTCTACATCAGCCCTCTAAAAGTGCACGTCTGGCTGAACAATAGAGTCTGTCATGGAGGATCAGGGCCATGTAAAGAGGCAAGCGGCATTCGGCCGTCTCCATGGAAGCTGCTGTATGGGCACTTTGGAATGCAGCGCAATAAAGAGACCATTTCTAAAACCTTGATTAGCATCATATGGCCAAAAAAACAAAAACGTCACTGAGCTTATGGTGCAAAGAAAATAGCATATAAATACAGAGAACTGTAGCCAGTTTGCTTGAACCTTTCTGTACTTTAGTAGGAATGAAGTGCAGACATACCGAGCACCAGTAGCTCCAGCTGGGCCTCATTCTTCCCCTCGAGATCGTCCGCAATGACAACTTTACAGAAGTACACTCCACTGTCGCCCCACTGCAGCTCCCCGATACGCAGGTCTGCTTCTGCACAGAGACGACAAACACGGTCAAACTTTTATAAATACTGAGAGGTGAGAGGTCAAATGGAACATAATGTTCAGGAGCAGCAGAGTGTTTAGATGTTGCAGCTGTAAATTCAAATAGATCAACATGAATTCTGTTGAATTAAGATTTTGCACAGAATCTAGGAACAAATGCTACAAAATAAATCTTTCTCGTGATCAATGAAACTCTATTTAATACTTATAGAGCTCTCATATGCTGCTTCATATTAAGTCTGCAGTGTCTTGTTTTTTGTATGAAATGCCGTGTTGTGAAATTTTCTTGTAAACTTGTAAACGCTTATAAATACAATTTTCACTGAATTTATGATCATACATAAAACCAGGTTGTAGGTGCAGAATTCAGTGTCCTAATGTATGAATATATAATATACGTACATTTGACATTTTGCACCAAGAACATTTGTGAATGTATTACCTTTAAAGCTGAGTATTTCATTGTTTGGCCTATGAAATATAAAAAAATTGTTCAATTTCCCTGAGGCAAGACAAACTGCATGTTCTGTCACAGTCATTGTTTATATTAATTGAAGTGGTAACTGAGAGAAATTGGGTAACGGAATATAAATGACAGAAAAGCAGCAAATCTTTCATGCATGAACAATACATAAAACATGAACAGATATCAGTAAAAAATCATTACTTGATCATTTGTTTCAGCACTAATATAATTCAGTTTTTGTTTCCAGTAGTAGATAATACATAATGTTTATATGTGAATAATCAGAAAATCACAGTCAGGCCTACAGCGATTGTCAGCATAGATAGATTTATCATGGCAGCCTTGTTTATTACTGTTTTTAAAGGCAACAGGAAGGCATTGTTGACACATTTGGATAGAAGACGTGTTTTATCCTGATAAGGCTGAAGGTTTAAAAGGGGAGTCCACACATGAATGGAAGCGAGGGCAGCAGGTTGTGATCATGTGGTGCCTCCTGTATTGTAAGACTAAGACAAAAGAGGTTTATTTATGGAGAGCGCAGTCAGCGGAGTTTAGCACAGAGGATAAGACTGATAACTTTACTGTTTACGATGGCGATGTCTCTGCCTTTGTAGTGCTCAGCCAGAGTCATGGAGGGTCCCTGCGCCGAGGCCACGATCCGAACCGTGCGGCTGGTGTCGGAGCACTCCAGGTGGGACGTGGCTCCCAGCTCGGAGGCCTTGTAGCCCAGACTCTCCGGCAGGGTGAAGGACTCTCGCGTTCGGTCTCGGCAGTAGGACTTGTACCACCACTGCACCACCGGGGTCTGGATGGAGCCCGTCTGGTACTGACATGGGAGAACGACGGACTGGAAGAGCATCGCAAACCGCTGCTTCTCCCGCACTGTGACGTGCACGCCATCGCACACACACACTGACACACACACGCAGGCAAACAGAGAAAGAAGGTGGGAATAAATGCTTCTGTTGATGTTTTTGAGAGTAAAAATATCATATTCAATGCTTTAGTCTGACTCCTACTGACATTTTATTTGACAATTCAGTCATGCACATGTTACTACAGATGATTAAAATGTATGCAGGGAACTCTGGCATACTATCAGCACTGAAAACACCACCTTCATCTAACATGCAGAAATGAAAAACAGGAGTTTACTGACTTGTTTTATACTTCAAAGCGGGTCTCTCTCACTACAAGTATTACACTTCAGGTACTTGTACTTTACTTACATTCCTTCGTTTTTTCCTACTTCACATTTTTACCAGACAGCAGTTCACAGACAAATATTCCACTCTTGCATTCTTCACTACATTTGTCTGACAGCTGCAGTTAGTGGCTACTTTCCACGTCTTACAAACCAAACCAGGGCTGCAACCACCATTTTTCAGTATTATGATCTATTTTCTTTCTATTTTCTCACTAATCAATGAATTTTCTCTATGAAAATAGTACAAGCTGCTTGAAGTAATTTCCCACTAGTAGTCCTTAAACCCACAAATATTCACATTCAGGTGACTCATGTTGAAGAAAAACAACAAATAAGCCCATCTGAGAAGCTGAAACCAGTTAACCTTTATCATTTTTACATGAAAAATGACTAAAACAATAACTCAGTTCTCCAAGTAAGAAATATTTTTTCAATCAATTGACAAATCATTTGTCCATCAAATGGCAATATTTGTGAAATGTTTTCTTGTTTTGTTAGACCAGCAGTCTATAAACCCACATATTTTCAGTTTAAGGTTGTGTGACTAAAGAAAAAACAGCAAATCAAATTACTAATTGAGCTGCTAATCGATTTATCAACTAACCGTCTGAGCTCAAAACAACTGCATTATTATGGATAAATCTTCCAGAATGTACAGTTGACACCAGAAGTTTATATACACTGTATAAAAAGACACAGAACCTTTTTTTTTCTCCATGTCTGACATTAAATCAGTTAGGATTACCAAAATTATTTCTATTTGCTAAATGCCAGAATAATGAGAGAGAATTTTTTAAAGATTTTTTTTATTATTACTTTCTTCAAAGTCAGAAGTTTACATGCACTAAGATTACTATGCCTTCAAACTATTTGGGAAAGCCCACATGATGATGTCATGGCTTTGGAAGCTTTTGGTTGGTTAATTGACAACATTTAAGTTAATTGGAGGCACACCTGTGGATGTATTTTAAGGCACACCTCAAACACACTGCTTCCTTTTGAGACAACATGGGAAAATCTAAAGAAATCATTCAAGATATCAGTAAAACTCAACCCCACCTCAACTTCAGCTTTAAAAATAATGGCATATTAGTTCTTTAAAAATAATCATCAAGTAATAGTATGTGTGTACAGAGTAAGTAATAGTTAATGTACGGCTATAACACCAGAAGGAGCCATAATGGATTAGAGTTTGACGGCAGGACTCAATTTTGAAATAGTGTATTTTTATCTTGAGCTACCGATTTTTTTACTTTGGTGAAGGTTCTTCTTCCATGACTGCTGAGCTGCCAGTTTATGACTTACACCAGGCGAAAAACAGTCAAGCTGTTGATCCAAGTTTATCATTATTTTGAGTATGACTTCTGTTGCTGATGAATAATAATGTGCTATCTTTATATTTAGTCTTCCCTCTGAAACAGGGTGTGCAAAGATTGCGTGGGTGAGTTTCACCTAACAAACCATCAACCGCGCAAAAACAAAAGCAGTTCCAGGCCAGGAAAATGAGGCAGATTCTAACTTTCTGACTAAGGAAACAGCTGCGTCTCCTCCTTATCTGTGCAGATGATTCATAATGATTCTGCTCTTTGGAGAACATTTACATCACATCACAGCGGGAGCGAGAGATTAGGTGTGTGGGGGCTCCTCTGCTGCTCGGCGCTGGGGGTCAGGAAGGTTAAATTCCAGGGTGCGTGGGGGGCTGGGGAGGCCTGTGGGGAGGCAGGGGGTTGTCATCGCACAGGGAGGGGATGGAGCTGGTGGGTGCTTTCTGCTGGTCATGTTCGCTCTAGGTGGGGCAGGAACTCGCTCTAAACATTTCCCAGAAGACAGGAAATGAAAACAAAAGCAAGTCCACCAGCCGGCCTCTCCTTAGGACCAGTAAGAGCAGCACACACCCTGCGTTCAACACGTTTATCTAAAACGGACAATTTTCCTTGTTTCCTTCAGAGATACGATCAAATCCGTTTATTTCCAGGCCACCGTCATGCCCGCAGTTAGCTATATTTGTCTCCGCTAACTGATTTGAATTGTGGGAAAATAATGAAAAAATTCCCATCACAGTTGTCCAAGGTGACAACTTCAGATGTTGTGTTTGGAATACTGTCCAAAACAGACAAAATCAGCAAATCCTTACATTTGAGAAGTTTGATCCAGAGAATGGTTAACATTTATGTTGAGCAGAAATCAATAATTGAAAAGCATATATTCCTATCTGCGGAAATGTCAATAATGCACTGCTTACTGTTTGCAAAACTGATAACGTTTGCAGCCTGACACTTCTGCTTGACAAAAGGCTTCAGAATTTGATCTAATTCATCATTTGGGCCCAAGTTTCAAGCTGGATACTTCATCATTCATGACATTTTAATATTAGACCAGCCCCGTCGGTGGAGCATCGTCCGGTTTCTTCTTCCTCTGACACACTTGAACTGCACATTTTTACAGGAGGAGGGGTGACCGAGCTCCTAAAATTCCTCCCAGAGAAGAGCCCTGGTCTTCCCTTTGTTTCTTTTTTTTCATGGACCAGTCCATTGTTAGCGCTTCCCCTCCCCTCCTGTCCCACTTGAGGAGCTGAGAGAGAGAGGGGGGGGGGGAGGTCACGGACTCCCAGCCAATGGGAGAATGTGTCCCGGTCCAGCTGGATGCGAACAAACCAATTAACCGCTAGAGATTTAAACCAAACCGTTACTCCATGAGCTCCCTGGATGCCATCAGTGCGAGGTGAGAAGCAAACACACCTCCTGTTAACCGCTGTTTACCGTGACTCATTGTAGGTAAATGAGCAGGTTACAGAGGCAGCAGACTGTCTCCTCCTCAACACCTGATGCTTTCACACCAAAGGCCTCATTTCAGGCTTTAGATCAGCCATTAAGAAAACAGTGTTTGGTCACAAATGTAGTCCAGGTCAAAGCTGCTGCTGCTGCTGCTGCTGGACGCTGGAAGGTTTCCTGAACAGACTTTTCCTCTCCAAAGCTGTCACATTTCCTGCCTTTACTTTGCCCTGCATTCCTTCACATTGACTCATTCGTCCAACAAAAGCAACAGATAAGCCTGAATATAGTCTCCATATTTGATAAAGGATTTCACAAAACGCTCAGAAAGTTTGCTACGGGTTAAACTGAGACTAAACTTTGCCAATAGATGATGAACCATCACATTTCCAGCCTTTGTGGAACCTGGTGTGCACTAATTGTACTTTTATAGGTATAAAATGATGATAAATATGCATTTTATCTGCACACAGGGCTGAAAATGACAAGTTTTCCAATTATAGCTTGATTATTTTGCCAAAAAACTGCAGAGAATAGTGCAAATTCCTAAAGCACTTTGTCACCGATGGTCTCAAACTCAAAAAATACTGTTTACAATCATAAATGACAAAGACAAACATCATTTCCTCACATTTGAGCAGCTGAAAACTTGGAATATTTATCACTTTTGCTTTAAAAAATGGCCAAAACTCAGTACCTCCAGCACAATAGCCCCAAACACTGCCCTCCAAAACTGATTATTGTGCTTTTGTAAGGTATTTTATAGTAATATGCTCGTAAAACAGGCCTGTAGCTCACACATATAACCTTCTGAGGAACATTGTTATCAAAATACACCATAAAATCGCCACAATATTGAGTCCCAGACACTAAACCCCACATGGATTAGTCCACCTGGTTTGTCCCAAAAAGCTTTAATGTGTTAATAATTTGTTAAAACGGGGCAAACCATTATTCTAAGGGGGGATCTATGTGGTTTGATTCCCCCCAAAATGAAATCTAAATCAAAACAGAGGCACTTTGCTGTGCCTGGTGCAGCCTGTAGGTCCTCGATAAGCGGTTCATGGATCAACCTGTTGCTGTTGTCGTAAAAGCAGCGCATTTCAACAAGCAAAAAAAAAGAAAAAAGAAGACTCACCTGTAGCTCCCAGTAAAATAGCCAGCCGGTAAAAGTTCATTATATAGTCCGTTTTCAGAGTAAAGTGCAGTTTTTCCGCATGTTAGTCATCTCGCAGTGCGCAGACTGCGGCTGCTGCAAACCGGACTCCGCTGCGTCTAACGGGACTGTACCACTTCTCAGAGAGGTGAGTCTCGACGCAACACACACTTAAAACACTCAATGAGCAGCAGCGCCGGTGCGGGAGCTACGTCCGTGTTCAGGGTGATGGTAGTTTTCTGTGTCAGAAAACTGAAAGTCTGCCTGTTGAAGAGGGAGGAGGAAGCTGCTGGAACCAAGTCAGACTCTGCTGCCAGTTTTGAGGAATTTCACCGCACACAAATGGCAACGTTGCACCCAGTTTCTTCAGCAAACTCGATTTTACTTAGCTTCATATAAAAATGTTTTTGGTTTTTTTTTGACAGTTTTTGTTTATTTTTTCTAACAATCAATGCATGGACTAAACATAAAAAAGGACTAAAATCGTTACAAATAATCACATAATTATGACTTTTAAAAAAAAGCCTTCTGGGTGCTTTATTATTATTTTATTTTATTTTATTTATTTATTTATTTTTTATTTTAGGCACCCCCATTACGTTTTTATTCACTACTTGGGTTCATTTTTCATCATTTTTCACTGCACCTCTATGGAAACAGCATAATTATGACAAGAAGTACAGGGATTTAAAAAAAAAAATAGTATAATGCCATAAATCATTAAAAAAACCAACAACAACATTTCTTTGATTATTTGTTTTGCAAAAAATAAAAAATGAAAAAGACTGGAATCAACAGAAACTATTTTTCCACAGGTGTTGACAATACTGGTTTAAAAAAACAAAAGAAAAGAACAACGGCACTAAAATGTTACAGTATTTTTCTGTTTTCTTTAAAATGTATAGAGATGTCAGTAAAATTACAGACATGCTTATAGAAAATGTTTTAATGCCAGGTTACATGTATTTCTCCTGTTTTGTACAAATCTTTTTTTTTTTTTTTTTACAGTATTCTCCGGCTTTCTTAAATTACATACAAATTCATGTAGAAAGCAGCCATTTTCTTTAATTAAATATATATAATTTTTGCAGCTTTTGATCAGCAATTTCACAAAGATGTGATATTTTTTTTAAATTTTATTTAAATTCCCTTCACTGCAAAGTGTCACTTAAAATGTAAAAAACTATTAAAAACCTGTACAAGTACCCATAATTTAAAAAAAGAAAAAAATTGAGTGCCTTTCTTTTTTATATTATGGATTCATGTGTTTATCATTATGTTGATTAATAAACAACCCTCTAACACATCAGACACAATTTTCTCAAGCGAAACACCATCAAACATAATGTTTTTACTTATTTAATCTAAAGATTTTTATTCTAAAATAATGTTAAATGAGGAAAAGCAGCAATTACCGCATATAAAAAGCTGAAAGTTTTGGATTTTTTTTGCTTGAAATGCTTGAAAAATCACTAACAAGGTAAACCTAAATCACAAACTATATATGAAAAAGAGGCTTACTATTACTATATTATCTGCAATTGTATGCTTAAAAAGTGGCTTACAATTACAAATAATGTACACATGTTGACAACAAAGACATCCATCCATTATCTATACACCGCTTAATCCTCACTAA